TCTCTTGGTCGACTGGAAGGTAGCTTCTTCTAAGGATGTCCTTGGGTAGGGTATCCCAGATAGGTCCATGACCCTACCCTAGGTACATAACCTCGTCACCTACCACTGCTGAAGACGCACCACCGGTATGTCAGACACTGAAGTAGTGGGGGAGACTCAACTGCACCACATGCTCAACAGACCAACCTGGTGGAATGGACTGTTAAGCAGACGGATGCTTCAGAACCGCCTGCTAATCATTATATATGTCCAGAACCGACTGCTCATCAGTCTGTTGCTCCTCAACCACATGATCAGCATACCAATGCTTCAACACTGCCTACTCAGCAAACGAACGAGTTGGCACAACCTCCTCAGCACACCAACAAGTTGGCACCACCTGCGAAGAAACCCGACATAGCTTCAACGCCAGGTCAGCAGTCTGATGCCTCTGCTCCTACAGCCCAACAGTTCGTCACAGCAGCACCACTAGCTAAGCAGTCTGGCGTCACTAAACCATCTGCTAAGTAGTCCGTCGCAACTTTACCGTCAGCTCGGGACTCCGCGTTTCAACCATCCAGACCTTGGACCAGAAGTGCTTCAAGTACCAAGAAGGAAGCGGAGGAAAAGGTTGCACCCGAGGAGGCGCCCCCCGAGGGCGAAGAGGAATGAGAACGACTGCCTCTTACTTAAGGCACTCATCGCCCAAAACCAAATTATCAGCAAGTTGTTCGAATTGGAGAGTAATATTATTTCTGACGGCATGAATGATGCACAAATAGAATTGGCGCTTGATAAAAATAAAGCAGACGTACTTGAAGCACACAATTACGTCCATGGCCAGCCATTTCTTGTTGGCGAGTACTTTGATGAGTGCAGTTCCAGTTGCCATGAGTTACATAAATATTGCATGGATCAAAAGTCAGCAGGTCATCATGTTCTGCTAGTCTGCTAGAACAGCGATCATTTCCGACACGATCCTGGTTCCATCAGTGTGGATTTCGAGGACTTACATCTCTTCTTCAACTTCAACGTGCTCGATGCCACTCTTGTTAGATGCCTAATTTTGTAAGTACTTAACAAACTCTGATCAACTTCTCCGTACAAGGCTGTAAATGATAAACAGCTAACTGCATTTTATTCCTCTTAGGGGATTGGCCGCGCAAAGAAGAAAAAGGGAGACTGTGTATTTCATAGATCCTGCATTAGCAAATGGCACAACATTGCATGGTAAGGAAAACGGAAGTGGGCCATTAACACAGTCACCCGTATCTTCGAAACCACGTCCCACGCAAAATCATTTCTATGGCCATATCATGCACGGTAAGTCAAATAAACAACCACACATACACTGATTATCTTTCGGATTTTGACATAATTCGTAAGTTCATGGTTTTCTTAATATGTAGCAATCACTGGATCATGGTATTCATTGTTCCAAACAAGAACATACTTTACTACATGGATTCTCTTAAAGAGTCAATAAAGGCTCAGGATCTGACACATCTTCAACAATTCATGGATACGTATTGAATTTATGATGTTGAAATTAATTTGCACTCATATCTGGTTCAAGAATTGATGTTGTGAAAATTCATCTTCATTTGCAGTGTGTTCGCATTGTGGAAAACTAAATCAGGGAGCATGTTCAAGAGGGAACTACCTCTACAGCACGAGATCGTTTCTCCGGTAACACACCGAAATCCATTATTTTCAAAAGATGTATCCAATAGTCTGCAAATATCTTTTCTTACGCTAGTCAAATGTTCAAGCTTCCAAATAAACCTCTTTCTATTTTTGTTCAGAGAAAAAATACGTCTAACACCGGTTAGGTTGTTCCTAGCAGGGCAAATACATAATTAATTCTGTACAAAAAATTACAGTGTCCTCAGCAACAAGCAGGGACAAACCTTTGTGGATACTATGTTTGCAGACACATGATCTCCATCTGCAAATCTGCTGATAGTTGTGAAGATGCTCGCGAATTAGTACCAGTAAGTCTATCTTAATTAATATCTTCTACGCCACTCATATGACACATTCTGATCTTAAAAATACTGCAGCTCATTTTAGAACCGAGGACCCCTGAACCGCTCCTAAGCTGGTGAATTGCTGATGGTTCGGAAATTTATCAGCAACTTCTTCTTGAATCACTACATCAATCTCACTAGTGATAATGAAGATTTCAGCATGCCTTGTCCTGAAACATTAAGTAAGAATTAGCCGCTAAACATATACGCATGTGTCCATTGTTTTCCATGTATGAGGTCTTCTTATTTCGTATACTATGATTAATTATGCAATGCGTATATACGTCATGTGGATCCATTGTTCAATTGCATTTGTTTAGAAATCTGATGAATGTTCTTCCTGTGGACACTATTTGTTCAATTGCATATTGCGGCGAATTTGCTTTTTGCATGCCGATTGAAATGGGATATTTTAGTTTGAACCTGGCAATTGTTGCGCACGTGGTTCAACTAAATGAATGTGTGCGAGCTACATCGGAAAGCATACGTCAATCGTAGCGAAACCGTTGGAGATACACAACAGATCGCAGATGATTTGTAGCACTACTACGTGTGCGTAGGGGCTCCAGAACCTTTTGTGATACCACATTATCGCACACAAGAGCTCAGAGTAAACCGTGCCCAAGTAAAATACAATCCTACTCGTAAATTTTTCAGGAAATGTGTGGGATCTCAAACGAAAAGCACACGTCACTCCTTCCGCAACCATCGGTGATACACAACAAATCACAAATGATCTGCATCACTTGTATGTGTGTGAAGTCACTCTTGAACTGTTTGTGATAGAACATTATCACACACGATAATTGTTCAGAAGCGTGTGCGATGGAGTCATGCATGGAAGACGAGTTCCGCAGAAAACTCGTGTGTGATGGGGCACATATCGCACACAGTTCATATGTTGGCCCGTGTGCCTTAGATATTGTTTCCCAAACGGTTTAGTACGAAACACCGTTTGGTTCACGGCGTCATTAGAAATGTTTAATTACCAATCCCACACACGTGACAGAATTTGGTGTGTGATGCATCGCATACTATTAAATTTGGCAAGGCGTCTGCATCATGGCACCCCTTTCCCTGACGGTTTTTGGGTCGTGCAGGAAGGAACCCCTGTCACACTCACTCACTAGGCAACGGTTTAAAATGCTGTCGTGGAAAGGGGTTAAAAACCGTTTGTATAGCAGCTTGTTGTACCAGTGTAGGAACCAAGTATGAGGTGCCAAACATCAATACATTGGTACAAATTTTGAGTAAATCACACCAAAGTAATATAATTTGGCTTCACATTATTATAAATTCAACAAATTGTCTAAAAATAGCATTAGGTTAGTACAAAATTAAGGTTAACTATACCATATACACTGCATTTTTGTAGGGGGTGCCATGGCACCCATGGCACCCCTAGATCCGCCCATATGACTATACGAGTGAACAACGGTGCAGTGAAGCGCGCGTTAGCCTCTAGTACCATATAAACCTTCAGGATAAGGATTACATATTGTGTTAGCCGTGGAGACAATGTGGGTAAGACATGGCAGGATTGACCTGTGCTCACTTGCATCAAGATTTCAGTGTGCATCTTTTGTGATGGGATAGCAGTTGGATTAACCATCACCTCTGTTCAGTTTAGTATGCAGCAATGCTTCACTAATTTGTAGTCTAAGTGCGAAATAAAGTAGCAACCGTGCCCAAAGTACGTAACTACGGAGTGGACTACAATGAAGCAAAAGCTCCAGAAAACTTCTACGAATATTAAGTTCAAGCGAAGGGTTGACCTGCAAGGTTTCTCTGTCAGGTAGCAGAATGTCCGGATCAGCGTCGCCTACTTGGTAGCAAGATGCACGGTATAGAGCTCCGTATGGGCCTCCCTTCCTTTCGTTATGAAGTAGCAATGTTTCTTCATCGATGCGTGCTTCCATGCTATCCAAGAGGGAAAATATATACTATTTGCAGCATGGACATGCGAGCATTACCCATATTAACAAATGCAACACTCTCTCAGCAGACAAAGAAATGATTGGCTGAATCTAAGAGAGAAACAAGGACCACCATGAAGAAATGAATGAAGGATTCACCTCTAGATATGCAGATCCAACACTGGAAACAATGTTCATGCATTCCTGACAAGGGAGGGCACATACACCTTACGTGGTTAGTTTTTCGAAGTACATTGCATGGCTAGATCTCATACGATCTGATATATCTGCGTTCTAGGCATGCCTATGAATAAGAAAACAACGGAATATAATTGGTATATACTACGGCTAGATCCGTTTGAGCGTCATATTATCAAGAGATTAATATGAGACGGATGTAGTATGATATAATAAAGTACTCCATCCATTCATTATTACGATTTTCTACCTTTTTTTCTGCTTTTTCGCAAAAAAAAAACCTTTTTCCTGCTTCAGACGTATGCAGACCCATTTTACTATGTTTGTTCACTCATTTCAATTTGTACGTAGTTCATATTAAAATATTCAAAACATCTTATATTCGTGAATGGAGGGGTATTAGATTCCTTTTCCTTTTTGTACTGAAAAGATTGGTTTTCAGTCATGCCAACAGTGGTGACAGTACTCATAAAAATAGTTATGTACAATGTAAGCTGTCCCTTTACATTCACTTCTCCTTATATATATGGGAGAGGGGCCTCTGAGTACATAGGTTCTGAGGTCACTGAGGTAGCCAAATAGGTTCACATCACGCCTTTCTCCTACTGCATGCTTACACTGGTACTACTGTAGCAAGAAGAAGACGATGTCACTAGCAGCTTTAGGTTTGTGCCTACATCTAGCTTCTTTCAGAGACTAGAGGCAAAGGAGAGATACGCATTCGACAACTCGTAGGACTAGCTAGGTGGTATCTTCTTCTCCACATTCCATTCCATGAGCTTGGAAGTGTGACCTTCCAAGGAGAGAGATAGGGAGTGAGTTGTGTGTTTGTGTGCCAAGCTAGGCACAGCCTTATTGGTTCTTGGGCCATTGATCGATGGATACCATGCAAGCCGAGCAAGGTAATGGTGGCACGAGCCCTAGGCAGAGCTCGTGCATTGTGAACGGCCCCATCATCGTCGGCGCCGGCCCGTCGGGCCTCGCCGTGGCGGCCACCCTTCGCCGGCACTCGGTGCCCTTCACCATCCTCGAGCGCTCCGACGGCATCGCCGACCTCTGGACGAACCGCACCTACGGCCGCCTCCGCCTGCACCTCCCCAAGGTCTTCTGTGAGCTCCCGCACGTCCGCTTCCCGCCGGAGTTCCCCACCTACCCGAGCAAGCGCGAGTTCCTCAGCTACCTCCACTCCTACACCGCGCACTTCTCCATCTCCCCGCTGTTCGGCCGCACGGTGACTCGGGCGCGGTTCGAGGAGGCGACGTCGCTGTGGCATGTGACCGCGGCGGCGGACGGCGGCGAGGTGACGGAGTACGTGTCCAAGTGGCTGGTGGTGGCCAGCGGGGAGAACGCGGAGGTGGTGGTGCCCAAGGTGAAGGGGAGGGAGCGGTTCGCCGGGGAGGTGCTGCACTCCAGCGAGTACAAGAGCGGGGAGAGGTTCAAGGGCAAGAGGGTGCTGGTGGTGGGGTGTGGCAACTCCGGCATGGAGATGTGCTTGGACCTGTGCGAGCATGGTGCCATCCCTTTCATGTCAGTACGGAGTGGGGTAAGTGAACCAAGTCCTCTCTTCCCGCTTCCTCCCATGAGACATTGCTTTCTTGTTTCGTCGGGTTTCTTGATGCTACACATGCTGTGTGATGCTTGCCCGTTTGGAGACCACTTTATGCCCTGGAGTTTCAATAGTTTCCCTCTTTGCCTTTCTATAAACAGAAGAACATATGCATATGTGAATGCGGTCGCCCTCTTCCGTACTAGTCTGCTAGTGTTCTTTTTGATAGTAGTCCTATGATATATGATACTCCCTCCGAGATCCATAATAAATGTCGCGGCTTTGAATTAAGGCTGAACTAACCTTAGCTCAAAGTTGCGACACTTTTTTTTTGGATCGGAGCGAGTACTGGTATCTAGCAGTAGTATATTAGAATGCTTGGCTAGCTAGTGGTTGGCGAGGAAGAAAGAGTCAACAGAGCGAGTTGTTTCTTGTGCATGCCATTCCAACTGCCGATCGCTTTTGAGGTTTCTACAACGTTCTACCTCGGTTCATCTTGTTGCTGGGTGGAGTGAGATTTTACGGTTTTACCTCTGTCTGCCTGGCCCTTGTTGGCCTCTAGTTTACCACTTGATCTGCCTGATGCAGGCGTGTTTACTTTTGGTAACTGTCGCCTTGTCCACGACGTAGCTAGGCAGAGAAATTAGACGCGTGGGAACAAAAATAGCACTGCCTCCATGGCATTCTCCACAGGGCCTCCTGTCGAGCGCGATCTCCAATGATCTCTCACTCATGCGTAGCATAACCTTGTGATGAGCTCTTGCAAGTAGCAACAATCCCCGTACAGTGTGTGCACATTCTTTTTGACTTCAAACATCTCTCTCTCTCTCTCTCTCTCTCTCTCTCTCTCTCTCCACCTCTCCCTCTCTCTTGTATAGTATTTTTCTATATTCATTTATATATATTTCTGGCATGTGCACGTCTGAGGTTCTGATGGATGCATGGCTTGTGTATGCAGGTGGTGGCAGAAGTGGAGTCATTGGGCTGCAACGGGGCGAGGTTCGTGGACGGCAATGAGATGGCCTTCGATGCCGTCATCTTCGCCACCGGCTACAGGAGCAACGTCCCGTCATGGCTCCAGGTAATAGCCCTCTCGACATGCATGGCAAGCAAACGCTTTCCACAAACGCAACAGAACGCATTACTGATGCCATTCCGTTCCACGACGTACGTGCGTTCGTGCAGAACGACGGGTTCTTCACGGAGGACGGCAAGCCCAAGGCCCGGTGCCCCAGCAACTGGAGAGGCCCCAACGGGCTGTACTGCGTCGGGTTCTCCGGCCGGGGCCTGCTCGGCGCGGGCGCGGACGCGCTGCGTGCCGCCGCCGACATCTCCGGGAGTTGGCAGGAGGAGATGGTGGCAGCTGGAGCTGGAGCTGGAGCTGCGGCCACGATCTCCCCAGTGTGATCCATCGACCCACAGGGTGGTGTTGCACACACCCCTGTGAGCTATGCATGTAGCTGGCCTGGAGGGAGACTGGTGCCACCGGCCGCGCGGCTGATGGCGCTGTTCACTGCAGTGGCAGACTCATACTGTATGTATATGGGAGAGAGGGAGAGTAAGAGGAGGTGTGTGTGAGTGTGTATGTGCAGTGGCCATGGCCTGGAGCAGGGCTGGACTGTGACAAAATTTTGAATAGGAAAAAGTCTGCCACTAGTGTTTTTGTCGATGCATGCGCATACGGCTGGAAGGGCGCAGGCGTTTTTTTGTCCAGCGAACGCAGGGCTGATGTCTGTGTTACGTACGTACGTACGTACGTCGCCAAGCCCAACACCATTTGGTTTGGTTTGCCCCCCTCGCGGTCTAGCTAGCTGCCACTAGTTCCCAGTGTAACGTCCTGTCCAGTTACACATGCGCACAGAAGAGAAAATAGTTGGGTCGAGACAATGTTTTCCGCTGCACGCAGTCACAACTTCTTCATTTTGCTTGAAGAAGTTTCTGTTGCATCACCATGCAGGCTTTACGCCCCCGCTTTACCGATAAACCAACACATCGATCGGGTCTTACAACAGTTCAAAGTGCAACAAGTCCAAGCCAAATAAAAATAAAAGGGCCTGTCTAGAACTCAGTCGACTGAAACTTAACAAAGTCTCAATCGAGTGATGTCATCATAGTTTTTTTCTGCAAGCGGCACGGCTAGATGCTACACCGATGATGAAAAATGTTGATGACAGTTTTGCAAGCAATGACAACTAATGTTGCAACCGTTGTGATTAAAATGCTACAACCGTCAATGACGGATGTTACAACCGGTGAGACGTTGTGCTACAATCGATGAGGGACAACATGCTACCACAAACAAGATGGATGCTGCCACCGGTAGTAAACGTTCGGATAAAATGTTGCATGGTCGACTGAGATTTGGTTAAATCTCAGTCGACTGATTTTTAGCAAGCCCGAAATAAAAAAACAACTGATGGCACCAGCTTATGGCACCGAAGCGCACACCCACAATTTTTTTCCTTTTGGAAACGGAGAAATAAAGGCACACACAGTACAGGACGATGGTTTCGTCTGGATGAGCCTGCAATGATATCGTAAAATTGAGGAAGCTCGAGGGGCACTAGGTGCAACCCATGACAACCCGGATAGAGATCCAAAGGAATTGTGCAGTGACACACAAGAACAAAATGTGTTTAGCGTTCACTTCGACATCTCAAGTCGCCCAACAATAACTGACCCGTAATAAGCTACCAAGTCAAGATCTTGATCCTAAAAGGTAGGCAAAACTACCACATCTATGTGAGCTAAATGGAACACGGACCACAAAAATGGTGTGATAGAGTGGCTTAACCAAGACGCAACCCAAGGGTTCCAAATGCCAAGAAATGGAGTCTGATTTGACACAATGATACTTACACGACAAGATCGAGTTCCTCCGTGAGACAATCTGTTCGGCCACCTCGATCGGGCCAAGGGATCTACAGAATGAAAGGTTCCCTAGACCACTGTGGAGAACCAAGGCATGCAGGAATGAAGTAGTAACACA